CCCCAAAACCCCAAAACCCCAAAACCCCATAAGGTCAATCTTAGACTGAAAATAAATCATACTTCATTAAGTTAACTAAAAATATTTCAATAAGATATAGTGATTAAGGTAATTTAAGGTTCATTTCTCTTAAATAATAGTCTTAAGAGTAGACCTATGTTGTGTCTTTCATAGATAATGCCTTTTAGATTTATGATCACATGAGATTATTTCTTTTAAGGTTTAATTGTTTTTAATGTTTTGAATCTCATTGCTTGATCCATCATCAACGTTGTAAATTGTATAGTCATTTTGAATAGCAATGTTGCGATTAGTGTTTGTATTCGTGTTGTGGTTGTTTTTATTATTCATAGATTTCAGCGAGCAATAATCCCCAAATGTATTACCATTAATGCTAAAACCATGCCCTCCAATACTTTTGCTACCATCATTCATATTTGTTCCCTAAATAGATTAAGTTCCATTAAGGGCATCGAAAACTACAAAAGATGATTGTGTTTAAGTTTAGAGAGGCAGTTGATAGGGATAACCATTTGAAGCAGTTGAATTTTCTCTTAGATGAACATAGTGAAATTATCCATCTTAGCCGTCTTAATACTCATTATTATTTGAATAGAACCGACTAAGCCTTGGCGGGGACATCTTATTCAGATTTCTGTTAGAGTTATTATTAGTCTATGTAGCAAGTGTGGAATTCGAAGCTATGTTTTCATGTGGAGAGTTAATCTAATTTAGACATTTACGTGCTTCTAAAAAAGTTTAAGTCTTTTCAGCTTAAGCAAATCCTTTATTAGAAGTGGTTTGAGATTTTGGGATAAAGTCTCGGTTTCTACTATTGTCAGATTTGAAATTCTGAGATATTTTGCTTTCATAATAATGAGAATCTACTTCTGTCACTAGATTTTCCTTTTCCTTTTCCTCATGCACTTCTCTTAATACGGCTGAAAGTCTTGAGGTTTCTTCATAATCCTCAAGCACTCTGATTCCAAAGCTTTCTCTATCAAATCTTTAGGTATTTTGAATCACTTTTTAGATTCCCTTTGTCTGGAAATCAGGCACTATCATTCTGTTCGGATGCTTAAGCTGAGCTACTGAACCGACAGTCACAAAGAACTGCTTATTAATACCACCCTCTTAGCCATCATCTCTATCGTCAATTGTATCGCAAGAGATGAAATGATTATCCTCTGAGTTATTTCTTTAATGATGATTGAATCCCTGAGTCTATCTTAAGCCATTCATTGGCAATAGATCTTTATCTGATAAGAAATTCAAATCATTACTATTCAGGAAACAGTTCTTGTGGAAATCATTCAATATTTCCTAATTTATCTCATCTAGTTGAGTTAGTTTTTGAGTCTCTTCCTCTGGATTATATGGAGAGTATGAAAATGTAAGAGAGGTATTTTGGTTAACTCCACCTCCTTGGTAGTTTTATCTTTCTGGCTATTTTGTGTTGTAATTAGAGCTAGCATTGCTTAAATGCTAGGGTAATGTGCTCAAGAAATCTCTTGTATTGAATTAGCTAGATGATTCTTATCTTGCATCAAAAGTAACTTATTCCATATGATTGAGTCCATAATCAAATGGCTGCTTATAAATGCTGCTAGTAAAATCGAATTAATCATAGTTCTTTTGAATTTGTGTTACTAATCCTATGTGGTTATCTTTATTCTTCTTTTATAAGTTATCTTTACTATCATTGTCTATTGAAAAGCAACTTGGATAGGAGATCCTTTAGATTTCCTCCTCTTCTTAGATCGGCGACTGCATTAGAAATTTATTATTGTTTTAGCTAGCAGATTAAGATTGGTACATTCTTTGAAAAAGATCCTAATTTTCTTCTTATAGTGCTCTGATAGTTGATATCAATTTCTCTCTTTAATCGAATGATTCCAAGAGTTCTTCATCATGCAACTCTTGTACAGCACATCTCAGATCGTCCTCATTTATTGTGAGTTGATCGAATTCTGCCTTTTTCTTTTATATCCTGCATTATTCAAGGTAAACTCTGAGCTTGGCCTTATCATAAATAGTTCCCCGCTTTAATGTCAGTTTATCGATAGCTATTGTAATGAAACTGCAATTAGAAGAAGTGAAAGCACTTTTCTGTTAAATTTTATCCTGCTTCGTCATATAAGGAGTCTTATCAAATCGAATATTGTGATCGCTGTAGATTTGAGTATCCTCCTAGCTCAGAGATCTTCTCATTTATTGCTTTTTCATGATGAGAGACTCTTAATTCGAGTTTGGATAGCTTGTATAATAGTCATAGGCATTAACTGCTGGACTGTCCTATTCTCTCTCGGTAAAGATCATTTTTATTGTTTAATTTATCTGGAATAAAATTAAGTTAATTTTAGCAAACCTTAATTTATAAACAAGAAAAGAATGAAAATAAATGAGTTTTAACAGGAATATTTATTAGCAAGGAAATTAATTAAGTAGATAACTCGATGACTTCATTAAGTTCTAATTTTAAATTGATAGATTTATGGAATTCCTAATTCATCTACTGCTTCCTTTTCCTACTACTAAGAGATCCTTAGCCTCATTTACTTTTGCTGCTATATAGGTCGATCCTCCATTATCTGGATGATTTAACACCATCAATTTTTTATGAGCTGCAAGTATTTTTGCCTCGGATGATAATTCACTACAACGAAATGTATTAAAATACTATTAAATTTTCCATGAGGAATTTTGAGTGAAAATATGAAAAGATTAAAAACACCTTTCTTTACATTGCTAATTACCTACCTTACTCCCAAAATAAGTTGAGCTTCACGCCTATTCATTGTACCCTGAAATCCCCCTCTATAATGTTTACCTAGAGCGAATTGATTGACAAATGCGTTTCGTAATTTAACTGATCTGTATAAATTAATGAAACTCTTGCCTAATACCGATCCACAGACTAGTGCTCCTCCTAATATCATTAATCCTTTGACCTATAGAAATTATCATTTAGTTCTTAAATTTTACCATTCTTGTGATTACTATTAAAATTTATAAAATTGCAAAAAATAAGAAAATTAGCTTAAAGGGGTTTTGGGGTTTTGGGGTT